CACGTGGGTGCTGGGGAATGTACTCAGGTCTTCAGCTTTGGCGGCAAGCGCCTTTCCCTGCTGAGCCCTCTCACCAGCCCTGCTGTGCACACTTTTGTTGAGCACATAGAGGTGCTGGGCATGTCCTGGCATCTGGGGATACTTAAATAAGCAAAGAAGAAACCGTCATGCCCTAGTGTGCAGCATTCTGCATTTTTGTGACTGGGAAAGAAACGAGTGAGGGGTCATCTGAGTTCTGTGTTGGGAAGTGAGAGCTACAGAGAAAAAGATCAGGAGGAAGGGCCTGGGTGGAGGCTGGCGATCTGCTAGTGGGTGGGGCCTTGCGAGGGGGTGGCCCTGAGACCTAGCTCTGTGCCACCAGCAGCAACCTGAGTGAGAAAAGCCTTTCCAGACCTCCACTCAGGTGAAACTAGGATTCTTTGAGGAAAAGAATGTCAGGGCCAGCCCATATTAAACAGGACTGGCGTTTAGTAAGACATTTAAGCATTGATTGAAGCATGGGAGAAGGACTATAATAGAAAAAGGAGGAGCCGTGCCCACACGTGGGTCTCCACTGTCAGGTGAGCTGACCTGAGACCTTAGCCATATCTCTGTATGTGTGGGTTTTGTGGCTTCTCAAGTCACATCATGAAAAGTTACTAAAAACGTCCCCTTTTCTTCCTTTTGGTCAGCGAGGTCATGGGTATTGCCTGGAGTGCCTTGGGTAGTTGTCTTAGTCGCTGTTCTGTTGCCGTGAAGAGATACCATGACCAAGGCAACTTATAAAAAGAAGCATTTAACTGGGGGCTTGCTTGCAGCTTCAGAGGGTGAGTCTGTGATCATGGCGGGAACATGGCAGCAGGAAGGCAGGCCTGGTGCTGGAGCCGTAGCTGAGCTCACATCTGATCTGAAAGTAGAAGGCAGAAAGGACTAACACAGGCTATTGAAACCTCACAGGCCAACCCCCAGAAAGGTACCTCCTCCTCCAAGGCCATACCTCCCGATTCTTCCTAAACAGTCTACCAACTGGAGACCAGACATTCCAATAAATGAGCCTATGGGGCCATTTCTATTTGAGCCTCCACAGGAGGTTTATAGTGTTGAGAGAGTCTTGAAAAAACTGTAGGTTAGCTATGCATGGTGGTGCATGCCTTTAGTCCCAGTACTTGGGGGTGGGGTGGGGTGAGGAGCAGAAGCAGGCAGATCACTGAGTTCAAGGACAGCCTGGTCTACAAAAGTGAATTCTAGGACAGCCAGGCAGGGCTACACAGAGAAACCTGTCTCAAAACAACAACAAAATAAAACAAAACGAAAAACAAAAAACAAAAAAAAAAAAAAAAAAAAAAAAAAAAGGAAAAAATTGTAGGCTTACATCTGGGAAAGAAATAGGCCATTATATGCACAGGCCTTCAGCATGGTTTATTGCTATGTAGCTTTTTTAAAACTTTTATTTATTTATTTTTAAAGATTTATTTATTTATTATATATACAGAATTCTGTCTGCATGTACACCTGCCAGCCAGAAGAGGGCACCAGATCTCATTATAGATGGTTATAAGCCACCATGTGGTTGCTGGGAATTGAACTCAGGACCTCTGGAAGAGCAGCCAGTGCTCTTAACCTCTGAGCCATCTCTCCAGCCCTAAAATTTTTGTAATTACATCTAATTATACTTACGTGTGTATGTATATAATGCACACGTGAAGGTTCAAAGGATAGAATCAGTTCTTTCTACCCACCATGTGGATTCTGGGGATTGAATTCGGGTCGTCAGCCATGAGTCTCTAAGGGAGCAGTTGTGTTCCAAGGTGGGAGGGCTGAGAGGGGTGTGCCTGGGGGTGGGAGAGTGAGGGTCACTGAGGTGGGTTTTCATTTTTGCATGTTGGGGGTTTTTCTAAGAGAGGATTTTCTTTTGTAGTATTGACTGGCCTGGTCCTCACTGTGCAGCCCAGGCTGGCCTTGAATTTCATGTAGTTCTCATTGTTAGCATCGCTAGTGCTAGGTTATAAGCTTTAGCCACCACATCTGGTTCTTCCCTGAGGTGGCAGGTTATATATATATATATGGCACATGTATGCATATATGCCCAGCACAGTGAGCAAATGAAAGTCAGAAGACAGCATGCAAGAGTCAGTTTTCCAGTCATATAGGTTGCTTGGCCTGAACTCCCGATTCTCCCGTTGTCACCAGGCGCCTTTGTCAAGCCACCTTGCCGGCCCTCGTTGGGTGTTTGCTGGGAGGATTTTGCTGGAAGTGTGTGTAGCTACGAACAGAGCACAGAGGGAGAGGGAGTGGAGGAAGAATGGAGGGTCACCGTCGGCTAAGGGTGGTGCTCCTGTGGAGAGCCATACGCATTGCCAGGAGGGTCCCTGGCCAAGGTGCAGTTATGTAATGTAAAGGCCTCAAGGCCAAGGAGCTTGCTCTGGGAACCCTGGCCCCTGCTGTCCAGGGGTACAGAAGCTTTAGCAGAGACAGAGAGGCTGTCACCAAGGGTGGTGTCCCATGGGTGGAGAGGCGGCTGTGGCAGGCCAAACTGATCAACTGTAAGAAGATAAATTATGACTATGGTGTCCGGGCGCGGAGGTCACGGTGACCAGATGGCCTTTGTCTGTGGTGATGTCTGAGTGCAGGCCCAAGGGAATTCTCCAAGTGGGATCTGGGGAGAGTAAATACTGCCAGTACCGCTGAAGAAGCAGTACCTGGAGGGCGCTCTGTGTGATCTCTCTCGCTGGGGACTCGAGCTTACACCCTGAGTCTGGATGGGCAGTCCAAACCTGAGACACTTCCCAGAAAGTTCCCAAGGTCACAGGTTCAGGACCATGTGAGGGGAGATCTAAGCAGGGAAGAATGGTTGCTGTCCCATCTACCTTCTAGCCCCTATCAGGGCCAGCCAGGGCTGCCTAGGCCTGTCCTGGAGGAGGTGTCAGGTCAGACATTTCCTTTTGGACCTGTCCTCTGCCTCAGTCAACCTCCTCCTGAGCTCCGAATTCTCCCCAGATGCAGGCCAGAATGCCACCCTGGGCAGCAAGCCATCGGGTAGGTCCCCATAGCTGTGCGGTTGAGCGGAAAGCTCAGGGACAGGCCAGCTAAGGCCCGGAGGTGTATGTTTGCAGTGACTTGTGTCCTTGGATCTGTATTGGAAACAGGAGCAGTTCCTCCTGTCTTTATTGAAAAACAAAACTTGGGGCCCAGGAAATGACTTAGTAGGCCAAGGCACGCCAGCCCTGAAAACCCAAATTTAATTCCTAGGACCCACACGATGGGAGGGGAGAATCGACTCCCACAAGTTACCTTCTGGTTGCCATGCATGGCCCCTCTCCACTGCCACACACGCTCGCACATGCATGCGTGCACACGTGCACACACACACACACACACACACACACACACACACACACGCATGCATGCACGATACATTGATAAAAATTAGAAAAAATGGCATTTGGGTTATTTTGTTTGATTTTAATATTTATTCTAAATTCTCTGTGGAATATATTCTTTAGCTGGTTTTGTTTTGTTTTGTTTTTTTAAGAGAGATTCTGTCTGTAGTCAAATGTCCCTGCACCGCCAGGTCCTGCCTATTTCATGCAGACAGAGCCACAGGCCTGAGAACCTCCTTACTGATAACGGGCTCTAGAAAGCCTTACTTCTCCAGGCAACTTGACTGGCCCTGCCCTTGGTGTGGGCTCCAGCAAGCAGGCTAGTACCCAGATGGCCTGGTTAGGGATAGGAGGTTAGGCCCTGAGGTGAGGTTGCAGCCTCAGGGAGAGAAGCTGAGCATCTGCAAGGCCGTTACTATCTTGGCTTCCCTTCCTGATGCGGTGGTAAAAATGGACAAGAGCAACTTACGGGAGAAAGCTTGCCTGGTTGTCAGTTGTGGGTTGGGTTACGTCATTGCCGGAGAGTCTCAGCAGAAGCTTGAGAGAGCTGGTTGCCCTGTGTCCCCGTCACAAGAGAGCAGTAGACTCGTGCGTGCTGGAATGCGCCTCACTTCCTCCTCCTCTTTCGTGGACCCCAGCCCATGGCCTGGCACTGTTCACATCCAGGGCAGCCCTTCCCACCTCAAATGACCCAATTAAAGCCCCTCATAGGCACACCCTCAGAGCAGCCTCATCAATCAGCTCCTCCCTGAGACTCCCTTCCCAAGCGATTCCACCTCAGGCCACATCTGACAGGATATGTTCTCCTGTAATCGAGGGGAGGAGACGGTGAAGTTGTATTTCTGAGAAAGGCTAAATGTATGCGTTTGCTTCCAGACTGTAATTTATGAGACCGGGGAATTTTTGAGGGGGCCCACCAAAGGTCACATGATAAGATTGCGAGGTATGATCTATCAGGCCAGTGAAAACTAACTCTCATGTCTACTGTGTAGCCATTAATACCTGCAATGTGCGTGGAGGCCTAGAAGTGACTGACAGCTTCTTCCAGACTCCTCTCTGGAGAGGTGGCCGGTGGTTGAGGAGCCAAGGAACGTAGAATCGGAACTGGGAGTGACAGGAACGTCCTGGTGGCTTTTTTCCTTTTTCTTTGAGACAGGGGCTGTTTTCACTGTATTATTCAGGTTGGCCTTGGTTCTCAGTCCTCCTGCCTCAGGCTCTGGATGACAGATGTGGGCCATCACACACTGTGACTTCTCTTTTCCAACCTTCTGGTCTAGCCCTTGCCTCTTGTCTCCTCAAGCTGCCCAGTTTGCGGAAGTCTTGCACAAAAGGAAGCTTTGTGACAGATGTTTAGGCTAGGCTCTTTCATTAGGCCTGGGTCAGAAGCCACGATGGTGTGAGTGAGGCATCTCACGCCCCTGTTGATGATGTGAGCAGAGGGTGGGTGTGATGATGGGGCATCAGACTCTTTCCTCGAGGTCTGTACCCAGACCTCTGTGTCCCGCCTACCACACCCCCTGTGAGTGTGCGAATTCTCTCTCCCCTCCCCTCTGCCCTCTCCTCGATCTCCCTCTGCTCGAAACCTTTGTTTCAGAAGAGAAATAAGGACTGACCATGGCCTTTAGGCTCCATCTATGGCATCCCTGAAACCATGATCCCCTACCCTGGGAGGCTGTGAAGCTGGGAGGGCACCATGGAGGAGCTCTCAGGAGGCTGGTGACCAGTGAGCACTCGGGCCTCAGGGGGACTGTTGGACCCAGTCTCCACTCTTGCTCCCCAGGGAACCAGGAACATCACAAACCCCTTCTAGCCGTGTATATCCAGTTAAAGAGCAGAGCTGCCATTCATGTAGGCTCAAGGTACCCTTGGCAGTGGCTGCCCTTGCCTCAGTTCTGAAGCGGTGGGAGGCAGGGCGATGCATGCAAGTCTAGGTGCTTGTTCATGGGGTCCTCTCACACTCCAGCTGCCCTGGAGCGAGACCGGAGCCTTGGCCTTCCATGTTGGTCTGCTCAGCCTGCATACCTCTGCAGGCCACCTCTTCCCACACAGGGGTCCTTTTCCTGGTCTTTCTTGTCATCACAGGGAATTGCATATGCAGCTCTATGTACCGGTCTCATCTAATACCTAGCTCAAATGCTCCTTCCTTGAGGCACATTCCTCTTCTAGGTTCACTTGTCCTAACAGGGGCCTCCTTGGCACTGTCCACCTCTCCCCTACTGCCTCGGTCCCACTCGCAGGGGTGTGTTTGCTCCGTGACTAATGTCCACCTGGGTGACGGAGCAGGTCTACCCTGCTCATGGTATTTTCCAGAGCTGCAGAACACAGGGCGACGAGCAGAGAGTTCTGTCCAAGTGAGGGGCGTGGCCATTGTTGCAGGAGCCTCATGGGTTTCCCGCCTGACTGCTCCTGTCCTCCATGGTCTCTGCTTTGTCCTTGCTGGCCTGACTCTCCTTCTCTCCTGGAGGTGTGCTTCGGCTCTTGGACCACGGAGAAGACTATGTCTTCACACTGCCCAGTGCCTATGCCCGCTCCATCCTCACCGTCCCGTGGGTGGAGCTTGGAGGGAAGGTCAGCATCGGTTGTGCCAAGACCGGGTACTCTGCCACTGTGACGTTCCACACAAAGCCCTTCTACGGAGGGAAGGTCCACAGGTAGGAAGCAGCCAGGACTCTGGCCGTGTTTCTTTTTATGTCTCAGTCTCCTCACACTCTTTTGAAGAAACTAGGCATGGTGGGCACACCGGTAATCCCAGCATTTAGGAGGCAAAAGCAGGAGAGTCTGAAGTTCAAGATCATCCTTGGATACTTAAACGAAGCTAACTTGGGATACAGGAGATGGTCTCAAAAACAAAAAAAAACACCAAACCAAACCAAAACCCACAACAAACAAACAAACAAATAAACAGATGGATTCCTAGCCAGGCATACTGCCACTTATCTACAAGCCCAGCCCTCTGGAGGCAGAGCCAAGAGAAGCTCCTGGGCTACCCAGCACACTCCAGGCTAGCTTAGTTTACACAGTAGGACCCTGTCTCTAAAAGCCAAGGGCTGGGCCATACCTCATCAGTAGAGTGTTTACCAGACATGCACAAAGACATGGGTTCAATTTCCTACTGTGCTACCCTGAAAAAAGATGGCATTTCAGTAACCATAACCCTAACCATCAAGATAGAATGAACAGATCCTATTTGCAAAAACACCTCTTCCCCAACCCCCTGCCCACATCATAGGGTAGGCTTTGGGCCCTCCTCACTCATTTATTGGGAGGGGGGTCTATGGTATACAGAAGTCACCCAGAGAATAAACAATCTTTTGACGTCCTACTTTATAGTGAAAGACCCTGCAAGCACAGGCATTGTGGCAATCCCCATTTCTCAGCTCCTGGAGTCCTGGGCATCCAAGCCACAGACTATGTCTCTGTCCTTAGGGGCTGGGGAAACCAGATTTTGAACTAAAGGAGAGGTCACCGTGGAGGAAGGTCTGCCACTGTGCAGACCTCAGATCCCAAGCTGCTTCTAGGGCCTTGCTGGTGTGGTGCTGCCTGGGGGCACATACAGACTCCCTCAGCAGGGGGCTGGATCGGATGCTGGTTGGGTGTTTGTCTTCCCAGCATTCAGTTGTCAAGCTGGCAGTTGAAAGACAATAGCTAGATCTTCGAAAGCATTGCAGCCGTGTGTCCCCTATGGAGAGCCGATTGCGAGGCATTTCCGGCCACACCACTGGACCTTTGCACCACTAGGCATGTCCACGAGGAACCTGAATAGTTCTTAGGCCAAGGGAGGTGGCTTCCAAGCCTACACTTGAAAACTGGACATGTGGGCTCAAGAGATGGCTCAGAGGTTAAGAATACCTAACTGTTGTTGCAGAGGACCAGAGGTCAGTCCCCAGCACCCACACTGGATGGCTCACAACCACCTATACCACCAGCTTCAAGCACTCTGATGCCTCCCATCTCCACAGGCACCCACACTCAGCGTGTGCATCCCTCTCCCCCAGTACATGTAATTAAAAGAATCAAAATAGGAAAAGCAAACTGGAAACGCAGCACAAGCTGGGCCACTGGGGCCAGAGGGCTTGGCTCCAGGGGCGTTTCCTTCCACTCAGATGTAGAGCCCTGGGTTTCGCAAACCATGCCCAGGACAACAGTCTTCACAGGCCTCTTACCATCATCGTTGTGTGCATGCTTGAGTGTGTGGGGGTGGGGAGGGTGTGGTGGTGTGCCTGTGGAAGTCAGAGGTCAGCTCTGTGGCGTTGTCTCTCTCCTTCCACCTTCACATGGGCTCTGGGGAATCTAATTCAGGCTTTACCTGCTGAACCATCCCCCGGTCCCACACATGGTCTCTTAAAGAGAACTGGAGGGTGGTCATCTAGCGCTCGCTGAGTCCACAGGGCCTGCCGTGGACTAGCAGGTTTAGCTCGGCCTCTATCTGGAATGTGTGGATGCTGGGGAGATGCATGGACTCTGGGGAGTGGCGGGAGCAGCCCAGGCCTCATCCCCGCACAGAGCTGACTTTGTGGTGATTGGATTGTTTGCTTTAGCTTCTGTTTTTTGTTTTGTTTTGTTTTGTTTTTGTTTTTGAGACAAGTTGCTGTAGAGCCTAGGCCAGCCTCCAATTTGTAATCTGCCTGCCCCTGCCCCAAATGCTGGCATTACAGGCATACACCACAATGCTTGGCATAGAACCAATACCTTATTTAAGGATGGAAAAGTTCTTCCTACACGCTTTCCATGGTAAAAATGTAGCACTAGGAGATGCTGTTTTGGAGAGGAGGGAATGTATTTTAGTGTTGGATCATCCTGGTGACAGACGGCATCTTATACAACTGCTGAGCTCATCTATCAGAACAGAGAAGCAGGCTCTGACCGCTCTTACTGTTGATCCATCTTCAAACTTGATTTGGACTTATTCCATGGTTTTGCCCTTTTCTCTTTCCTTTCCTTTCTCTATTCCGTTCTCTTTTTAAATACAAAGTCTATCTGCTCAGCCCAGACTAGCCTTAGTCTTGCCTAGATTCCCCTGCCTCTGTTTCCTAGGGGCCAGGGGTTACACGCAGGCAGAACACTCCATTCTCCCTAAACCACCCTTTAAAAGTCTGTGAAGCAGAGTTCACCTTTTTGATTCATTTGACTCATTGATTGATTCAGGGTCACAGCAGAAGTGAAACACAACCCAACCAACACCATCGTCTGCAAAGCACACGGGGAGTGGAACGGCACGTTGGAGTTCACCTACAGCAATGGGGAGACCAAAGTCATCGACACGACTGCCCTGCCTGTGTATCCAAAGAAGCTTCGACCTCTGGAGAAGCAGGGGCCCATGGAGTCCAGGTGCGGCTGCCCCGCTCGGCTGCCCGCACCCTGGCCGAGACTCACAGGAAACGTCAGCAGCACAGCTAATGGCAAAGGACCAGAGGGCGCTTCCTTCAGCTGTTGACAGCATGCCCACCCCTGCCCATTGGGGACAAACCCATGTAGCTGTCACTTGGTTTGCAGCTGTCATGCCCCTCCCCCAATCTGGCAGACTTGTGCTGCCTGTCCTGAGCTAGCTTGTCCACCCAACTGCCGTATTATTGGTTGATTATAGATTAATCATGGGGTTGCTGCTAACTGAAACAGCTATGCAGTGAGGCAGTGGAAATTTTCTTTTTCATACTTGATGGTTATTTTTAAAATATTGAGTGCCGACACGGGTAGTGAAATCAACTCCACACATCCTGTGCTTCTGGTAGAAGCAGATGCGGCTTAGGGACCATTAGATTTAGATACATGAGCTCACTTTAATCTTGTATTCTATTTCTGGGGAATCTATTTGTTGGCTGGAAAATTATTAAATCCAGAAAAGAGCCAAACATGAGTTTATTTTTGAGAAAGCCGTTCAAGAAAGAGAAACCATATAATTGCTTGCTATTTGGAAAAGGGTTAAGTAAAATTATGAAATATCCATTTAATTATTAATTAAATATGCACTATATTGTATATTATGTGGCTTCTGGAAGTGACAAGTATAGGTCTATGAGCAGGTTATTCATAGAATATGCTATTTTGATATTTTAATCTAAGCTATTAGCCAACATGGTCCATGAGTCGAATTAAGCCCTGGCTGGTTTACCATTTTTTTCTGTATTCATTTATGCTTATGTATGTGGGCATGTGTGTGCCACAGCACACATGTGGTGATCAGCAGATAGCTCCTTCTACCCTGTGGATTCTTGGGCTCCAACTTAGGGTGTCAGGCTTGGTGCAAGTGCCCTTACCCACTGAGCCATCTTGCTGGCCCACAGCTGATTTTTTTTTTTAAAATAAAGTTTTACTGAAAAGTAGCCATGCGGAGGCTGGAGAGATGGCTCAGAGGTTAACAACACTGGCTGTTCTTCCAAAGGTCCTGAGTTCATTTCCCAGCAACCATGTGGTGGCTCAGAGCCATCTATAGTGAGACTTAGTTCCCTCTTCTGGTGAGCATACGTGCAGGCACACATGCAGGCAGAATGCTATATACATTATAAATAAATAAATCTTAAAAAAAAAAAAAAAGCAGCAGTGCTCATTCATGGCAGTACTAGTTCATTGGCAACAGCAGAGTTTTGCTGCAACCAAGACCCATTAAGATTTACTATCTGGCCCTGCATGGACAATGTTTGCCAAGGCTTCCTTTAAATCGAAGTCTGTTTTTTCCCAGGTGGTAAGGAAATGTGTGAAAGGCTTTGCTGGGACTAGAAAAGTGTAGAGCTGCATGGAAGATGTGCTTGCTGAGTGGAAGAAAAGCAGGGTACAACAGTGTAGACAGGAGTTAGGCACAGCTGTAGGGCCCTCTTTTATACTGGTTTGAAAACCAGCCATATTTATTTGTGGTGGTGAATACAACTTCTCTGTGCTGAGGTGGAGGTATGAACTCTTCCTTCCCCCCACCCTGACTGTTGGGCTGTGGCTTCAGGAAGAGAAAGGGGTATAATAAGGAGGCAGTCCACCACCAGCCCCATTGCAGGGACATGCCCAGGATGAGGGTCAGCTACTCCTTGGTCAGCCTCTCGGTACTGGGAATCCTGCAATGGGCAGGGAAGGAACCCAGTGCCAGTTAGAGGGGCTGCTGGGCTTTCTTCTCCCCGTGTGTGTATTTAAGCATAGTGCTAGGCATGGAGACAGTGACTGCCTGAGGTCTAACGCTCAGGAGGCTGAGGCAGGAAACCAAGCCAGCCTGGGCTTATATACCATGAGACCCTGCCTCAAAACCCAGCAACACAGACAGCATGCAGCTGACCGGAGAGAAACTGAGCTACCCTCGTAGGATGTGGGATGGCTGTTCTACAATCTGTCCTCAGCATCCCTGCCCAGGCTCAAGCCTCCGAGTCAGAGCCTCAGCATAACTCGTCTGGTAGTCTTAGCTCTACTGTGGTACCAGCCTGAGGAGACTGCCCGTCCTGTGCGTGTGCTCCTGATGACCAGAATGCTGTCTGAGCAAAGGTGGTGTCTGGGATCACAGAGGCAGGCCTGGAAATGCCACTCTGACCTTGCTAGACCCTGTGCTAGCTCTTGGGGGACACCCCTGACTTCCTCTTGAGCCTGCCCCTCCCTGCTCTGATGTTTCTTCCTCCCTCTCCATCTTCTCCTAGCTTGGCATTCTGGGCTTTTAAGTCAGGTTCCCTGTTTTCCACATTCATTTGACACTGTTTTCTCTGCAAAGCACACCTACTAATTGTCTCTGGGTCATGACCATGAAATGCATTCTTCTGAGGTGTGTAGAGGGGTGCTTGGTGACAGCTGTGCACACCTGCTGCCCCTGGTGGTGGCGGTAGCACTCTGTCTGCTCTTTCCAGTAACTTCCATCTCCAGAGACTTGCTGTTTGAGGCAGGTAGTGTGGAGGCAGCAAACGTGACCAGGAAGCCCTGGGTCCAGACGGGCTCCTGTGTTTCAGGACACCTTGGCTGGATTCCCGAAGACAGCTTCCTAGACCTCCTTCCCTCTCTGGCTGCTGTCGTCTCAATATCTGGCTCAACCTGAGGGTTTCCCTTGCCTTCCTAGGAACCTCTGGCAGGAAGTCACCCACTACCTGCGGCTTGGGGACATCGAAGCTGCCACAGAGCAGAAACGGCGCCTGGAGGATAAGCAGAGGATGGAGGAGCGGAAACGGGAGACCCTTCGCACCCCTTGGCGGCCCAAATACTTCATCCCAGAGGTAACCCTGGCCTGCTGCTAGGTGCTAGCCCCATTAAGGTCACCTCAGCTTCTATTGCACAGTTGGATGGACAGGGCCAGGCCGGCCTTGGGTAGAGCAGGTAGAGAGTGGCTCTGGCTTGGACTGTGGGCTGGAATTTGGGTTAGGATTTCCCCAAGGAATTGGGACCAATCTCACACCATCTTGAGGGCAGAAGTAGGCAGCTGATGCTTGTCCAGCAGTGTTCCTCCATTCAGAAACCCTTCTGGCCAGCCAGGCCCAGGAGGAGACTGTGGCTCTGTTCCACCACTATCCCCACCTAGCTGGGAGGTTCCCCCTCTTCCCTCTCTACATCTGGGTGGCCAGAAGTTCTCGCCATTGAGTATTTCCACAGTGTGACCTTCTGTGGACAACATGGAAGGGACATACAGAGCAGAGCTCCGCAGAGCCTCTGCCTGCAATGCTGCTCCCACCTCCACCCCTCAGGGAAGCAGACAAGGGGCTGTGTGTCCATTCGAGGTCAGCCTTAGTTTTGTATCCTATGGCTGAACTAGAATACCCTGATGAAAGCAACGTAGGGAGGAAGCAATGTAGGCTCGCAGTCCCATCACCGTGGGCGAGTAAAGGCGGCAGGCCCTTGAGGTGGCTAGCCACATCTGCGGTAATTTACACACGCACTAGCTCACTTCTGACCGTAACTGTTTCAGTTAATGTGACCAAGATGGTTCTGGGCAGACACGGGCCTACCTAATCTAGATGGTGTCAAGGTATCACAGGGTTGTCTAGCAGGTAGGAGGGGAGGGGGCTGGGGGTACAGCTCAGTTTGTGGGCTGCTTCCCTGGCACACTGGGTGTGGTGTTACACATTTGTAGTGTCAGCACTTAGGAGCTGAAGGCAGAACACCGGAAGTTCAAGGTCACCCGAGCTGTGTAGTGAGCCTGGTGGCTTGGAGAAGCAGGCTAATTAGTAGTGGGAAGATTTGTTTTTATCTTCCATGCAGATAACAGATTCTTTGTGAGGAGCCAGGGTTAGGTTATGAAGATTACGATATTTGTATGATGCGAAGGCATTATATAAATTTAAACGCCCATAGCTTTGGATCAGTGGGCTACAAGGATGGACTGTTGTGTCTGGCTGTTGGCTGTGGGGTGAGCTAGAACAGCCTAGTGGCATGGATGGGGCAGGAACAATTTATGGACAGGTACAGGAGGTAGGAGCTGAGACTGCGACTGGAAAGCCACACTTTGGTTCAGACTTGAAGGCACTTGGGAGACTGCCTTGAAGGGTCCTGTGTGGACCTGGGTGATATAAATCCTTGAGTTTTCCTTGAGGAGAGTCCGCGAGACAGCTTGCCTGACTTACGTGGAAAGTTGTTCGTTAGACAAACCACCACTTAAAGTTCTGTCTCTGGGGCTTGATAAAGGCCACCATGTCTGTAACAGGAGGACACCTAGCATCCCGACACGACGATGATTAGCTTCCACCAACTGCACTCCCTTCCGGAGGCCATTCTGAGTCTTTTCCTCACCTGGTGGCTGAAAGGGTGGTGTTCCTTCTGAGGACACCTGCCAACGTGCCTTCACTGGGTGGGTGGGCTTTCACGTCACTGGTCTGTGTGCATGCTCCCTTCACCTTTCCTCTCTGATTCATCCAGCCAACCTTTCTTTCCTAGCCACTGTCTCTCAAAATTTTCTTGCCAAGTCTACAGAGAAGAAGCTGTAGAGACCCCTTGTATTGTGATCATTTCGTGGGACTTCTGTTTAAAGTAAATGCATACTTATCTCAGCTGGGCCAGGAGACAGGTACCCTGAGCCTGTCAGAGGATACAGGGGTAGGGAAGGCCATCAGAGAGGCCTGGGTGGGAGGGCTAGGGTCAGGTCTTGGCCAGTGCTGTGTGGGCTGCATGTATCAGAAGCTGGCTCTCTGGGAGGTGTCCTTGCAGCTCAGCTCTGTTAGCAGGCCCTCCTGTCACATCCTTCCCTCTCTTGCAGGGCGATGGCTGGGTGTACTTCAACCCCCTCTGGAAGACACACTGATGGGTGGCGGTGCAGTGGCGCCCTTGATAGGCCTGATGTTTAGGAATAAAGTGGTACAGTATCAAGATTTTGTTGGCATTTGCGGAAACCTCTTGTGAGCATCCAAGTCAGAGAAAGGGGTCATATACTGTGAAATGTGCACCCCAAATTCTGCCCGAGGATTTATTCAAGAGCCAGCTGAGGCATGTGTGCATACATCTGCACACACCAAGGCTGAACTGGGTAATCTTGAGCTCCTTTTTATTCACAAGGTTTGATGTTTTGTATTTTTCACTTTGCCAAGGTAGTTTTACACTTATGAAGGTCTTTTCCACTCACCAACTCCTGTCACAGTGCAGGTTGAAGCAGCATGGCCAAATGAAGTCCCTGTCTGAAAAAGGAACTCATTCCTGGCAGAAGGGTGGGTGGCTACCCTTTGCTTGTTATGATCCACGTCCAAGGTTGTCTGTCCACACCTGGGAAAGAGCAAGTAGGCCTTCCAGTTGGACAAGGGGACAGGAAGCCCCTGGAGGCTGATGTGGAGCCTTCTAGAAGGGGGAGTGGCTTTGGATGAATCAGAGCCAGACCCACCAGGCAGTTTTATCCCATCTTTCTGACACTTCTCATGCCCAAAGTATGAGCACCTATGTTCTGCACAGCAGAAAACACATCACAGTCACAACAAAGGGCTCCAGAAGGTCAGTACACGCATGCATACACTACAAAAACCACCACTGCCTCATATCTAGTTGGGGAAAGAGAACAAATAAATAGTCTTGTGTATTATTATTATTTTTTTCTTGATTTTGACCCAAACTGCCAGGAAGCCACTGTAACTAGGACAGACATGAGACCGTGGGGCCCACTGTCCCAGCTGAGTGTCAGTCTTCAGCCTTCACACAGGTCAAACTTGGACCAAACAAACTTGAGAAAAGTAAAGTTTAACTTGATTTTTGCTCAGTGCTTACTTTATCTTTACCATGCCACCCCATATTTATAAAATTCAGTAGCATGAACGCTTCTCTGTAGTAATACTAATTTTGTGCCTTTTGTCTGCTTTCTTAAGACCAACTATTGACACTTTGTAGACATTAGACAAATATATTTCGATTAAATAATTCTTGTGTCTTGTGTGTTATTTTTAGGGATTCAAAAGTTCTGATTGGTGGATCAGTCTCAAGACTTCTTGCTTAGGTATTGCTAATAACCATACTTACAATGGAAGTTTTTTTTTTTTTTTTTTTTTTTTTTTTTTTTATGTGCATCATGTGCCCTGCCTGCAGAGGCCAGAAGCGGGTGTCAGTTCCCTTGGAGCCAGTTACAAGTGATTGTGAGCAAGCTGCCAGATATGGATGCTGGCAGTCGAACACCACCAGTTTTAACCACAGCCCTGTTTTAAATACACTGGAAAAATCCCAGATTAGTGCCACTTAGGGGCTACTAACTATCAATACTATGAAGCAAATGATTATGAGTACCATGTTTAGGGCCAACCTGAGCATTTACAATTGAGATTCCATCCTTTTGAGATTCCATCTCTAACAACAGTCCTGACAAAACTCTAAGCCTGGATGAAAAGAACAAATTCCTAGAAACACATCCTACTAGGAATGAATCATGAACTAAGGAATTAGAATAGATCTATAAATAGTAAGGAGATTGGATCAGTCACTTAAAATCTCCCAAACAACAACAAAATGCCAAGACCAGATGGCCTTAGATGAATCTTACCAAACATTTAGTTATGCCAGCCATTCTGGATTGGCCTAATTTGCCAGATGATGCCCAGCACCAAAGCAAAAACAAAAGGACTAGCATCCTGTATAAATTTTCTTAAATCCTAGTGCAGCAAATTCCACAGCATGTTTAAACCATTACAGACAACACTGAAGTTTATTTTTAGAGGGCAAGGGTGGAGGAATGCAGACTGTGTGAACATAGCACACATTAATAAAGAGGCTAACTACAGTCATCTGAACCCATGGAGAAAAAGCATTTGACAAGATTCAGTCCCACTCATGATAAGCACACACCCCAACTCAATAATGAAGTCTACATGCAAAAAGGCCACAAACATTACAGAGTTGAGAAGTTAAAGCCTAAGTAGGGATGCTGCTTTTGACACTGCCATCGACACACTACCAGAAGTTCTAGGTAGGGCTAAAGAAGACACGACTCAGCTGAACATTCTCTTGTATGGCAGAAGCCACCAATTTATCTCGAAAATCCAGGACTCTACACACAAAAAATTAAAGTCCACCCAAGTAGGCCATGAATTCTTGCTTCAAATGCTTCCCCGCCCTCCATAAAGAGGACTTTTGAAAATAGCTACATAGCCTATGTTTTGCACCAATTCTGAATGTTGGCTCCACACCAGGGGAAAGCTTCACTGAACGAGCAAGGTGAAGATGAGGCTAATCCCTGTGCCCAGCCCAGGCCTGCTCTCTCTCAGCCTGGCAGGTACTGCCTGGGTCTGTGCTGTTTTAAATGTGACTTCTGGGGCTGGAGAGATGGCTTACTTACTGCTCCTGCAGAGGACCCAGATTCAGTTCCCAGCACCTTGACAGGTAGCTCAGGACTACTAGTAGCTCCAGCTCCAGGGCATCTGACACCCCTGTCTGGCCTCCGTGGGCAAGGACACCATGCGTCTCCCCAACACAGTAAATCTTAAATTTTCTAGCATCTCGATCCAGGTTCTCAAATTATCCTCCCCAGAATTCCACACCCATCAGGTCTGGACCTAGCGAACCCCTGGCAGCCTCATGAGCACTGTCTACACTTTCCACAGCTTGCCCAGCCTTACCTGAGAGAATTGTAGGCAAAATGTAACCCAGTGTCCCACGCAGCCCCAAACAGGTCACTGTAGCTGACTTCTGCTCTCCACCCACTATAGGAGGGATGTCATTGGGCTGCACCACACTGCAGGTGGGGTAAGGGTGAGTAAAATCAGGATACCACTTCCCACCACCTGAATACAGCTTTTTGGACTTGCACGTGCTACTGTAGACCTTTGTTTTTGTCCATGCTCCCAGTGACCACTTTGGTAAGAACTGTCCTCTAGCTGAGTTGGTTTTCAGGAGCGAGGAAGGCTAGGGACTGTTCTCTTGGCACAGTGCGGTTGTCAGCAGTGAAGGACTGTAAAGTAGGTGTGACCACAGTCACATGCGTGAATGTGTTCACGTCCGTGTGGAAGCCCCATTTGAGAATCTTCTTCCCCAATCACTCAACATTCTCCCTTGGGGCAGGCTCTCTCAAACCTAGAATTTCTGAAGCCAAAGCTGCTGGAATTAGCAGAGGTGGGGGTGGGGGAAGAAACAACACCTATGTAGCATTTGCACCGGTTCTAGGGATCTGAACCCCAGTTCTCTTGCTTTTGCACAGGCCCTTTAAACGTCAGCCCGTTATTTCTGAAAACTTGAAAGAATGTTGGATCTGACTAAAGTATGTATCTTCAAATCACATGCATGCCAAGCAGTTGAAGTGTTCCCATCGGGCTTGAGTCCATTTTTGTACACTCTCCAACAGTTACTATTTGTTTCCATTTACTTGCCACTTTGATTTCCTCTGTCAAGATCTCATTAAGATCTCCCATGTGGGGGGCTGGAGAGTAGTGGGTTCAGCGGTTAAGAGCACTGACTGCTCTTCCAAAGGATCCCAGTTCAATTCCCAGCACCCACATGGCAGCTCATAACTGACACCTATAGACATACATGCAGGTAAAACACCAGTGCACATAAAATGAAAATATTTAAAAAGATCTTCAATGTGTCTTCCTAGTAGTTCTTAGTATATTCTGGAGACAATTTCCTCCATCAGATATGGGGCAGATGATGGTACCTTGTCTACCACGATTACCAGGACATGTCTCTGGGCCACTGAAGAGACAGAATTGGCACTAGCCAATTAAGAATTCTAAGGCTTCCGTGCCAGGATGGGGTAGTTTAAGGACACATGCCTGGATCAGCAGAATACAGAAACAAATTACTTTTTGATCAGTTTTCAACACTGGGCCAATTAAATGGAAGAAAACAGGTCTGTGAATACTGGTACTGAATTGATGAAGAGAAATTGAGTCCAACAAAAATCAACTCAATCCGGCATGCCCAGTGCACACCCAGCGAGCACGCGAGAGGCCACCTTACACAACCAGGAGACTGGAGCTGGCAGGTTTGCCCATGGCTAGGTTTCCCCGAGGCGGTCACTGAGGCCGACTAGCGCTCACCTTCTGCAATGTTTGTGACTGTGCCTTTCTTCATAGGGCTAGAAGGCCATTTTATAAGTGCTTTCTCTCAGCAGTTAATAGGCCCAAGCTTCTGATCCATGCTAATCCTTGCCAATGGAGGATCGTATGATGAGTCTCTCTAGCTGCCATTCTACCTTCAGTTTTCCGTTTGGTTGGTTCCCAACCTTCAACAAAGCCATCTCAGCAGAGCAGACTCCTGATGTTCTAATCCAAGTGCGTCCAGGTTGCTTCCAGACTGGAAACAAGGCCTCAAAATGTGGCCCACTTTCCAATTTTGAGATTGTGACAGTGTTCAGAGACACAGTTAACTTTGGTAGTGTCCATTTAACTAAGGCAGCAGGGGAGATGTCAGAAGCAGGTGCTACAGGCATTCTGGGATCCAAAGGGACAATTTGTTGTGAAAGTCCCTTTCTGACAGTAGGAGCCTAGAGTATGGTCCAAGAGCCCAGCAAAGATGGCTGGAAAATCTGTACATAGGGGTCCTAGTGCAAGGTGCCTTTATCACCAGGCCAGCAAACCTGAGGAAATACAAATTCTGAGATAAAGCCAGCATTTCGGGCCATTTAACTTGGAGATTGGCAAAGGCCAAAGAGAGATGGTCATACCTTTACAGAATGAGAAACAATGTTTACATCAGAGTACTGGCTGAGGTCTTTGTACAAGTTCAGGCCAGCATTGTATACAACACTCAAGCCATTAAATGGTTCAGGTGACTCTGGCTTGTTAAATTCCCCTAGTTCTCTGGTAGATAAAGTCTCCTGCAAAGTAAAATCAGAGCACTGGCCTACACTTACCCACTCAGCTTCTTAGTATAATGCTTATACCACCAAAGCCTGAATATTTAGTAAATAAAATCATAGGCAACCTGCGGGAGAAAAGCTCATGCAACAGAACAGAGACTCTCTCTAGGTACTGGAAGTAGGAGACAGCCTAAAAACACGTTAACATCTATGGATCAGGCTTAACCAACATAATCATATTAGGGCTGACAAGATCGTTCAGTGGGTAAATATAAGTGCTTGCAGCCAAGCATGATGACCTGAGTTAGATTCTCAGCACATACATAGTAGGAGAGAACTGACTCAAGTTGTCCTGTGGCCTGTGTGTCAAAGTTCCAGTATTGCCTACAGTGGGTTGGGACCTCCTCCATCAATCATTACAGATGTGTTCACATGACAGTATGATAAAGGCACTTTCTCAATTGAGGTTCCTCTCCCTACGTGATTCTACCCTGTGACAAGCTGACAAAAAACCAGCACACCCACACAGACATTTATACCACGATCTTGTAATCCCAGCACTCAGAAGACTGATCATCAGGCCATGAGTTCACATCAACCCAGACTACAGAGTAAGACTGTGAAACACATACACATCTCAAAACAAATTGTTCATGGTTAATTTGCTTAATTTGATCAAAGATATCTGCAAGAATTATACTCAATGGCAATCACGAGCTTTCCTGGTGAGAGAGGGCACAACACAATGAAGTACAAACCCATTACAAGGAAAAAGGAGACCACCATTGTTTCCAAGTTCCAACCACATGAATCTCTGAATAACTGCTAGGATGCTGATGACAAGATCAAATAAAATTTCATTAATGTAAAGCACATGTTTTTATATTCTAATAAGTAATTATTTATAGTATTTACCAAACATCACACACCAAAACACCAGGTAATAAAAGTCATGAAAATATGAAAGACAAATTGTCAAACCGTTTGAGGCAGGATCTCATGTAGCTTAGGGTTGGCCTTGAACTCACTACAAAGCTGAAGATGAAGTTAACACCTGCACCCCAAGTGTTGGGATTACAAATGTGTTAGCCACTATGGCTAAAATAGAAGATTTTACATATGTGCATGTGTACTT